GGGCCTTAGCACTAAGCGCTGTAGCCAATGGCAACCCAAGCAAACGCTGACAGGTAAAGTGCAGATTGCACTGCATATTTTAGAGTCACATGCCAGAAATGTTCGTTCAGCTCATTTCCTGTCGCAGGGACAGATTTTGGGCTTAAAATGCTTCATAATGCACCTGTTGGTCAATCGCTTGTGGTCTCTCCTCTCTCTGTTATTTTCGCTTTGGCTATGGTGCAGGTTGGTGCTAAAGGTAGCACGAAAAGCCAAATCAACAATGCCATCTCAAAAGGTGATTTTTCCTAGTTTGAGAAGTTGTGTTCTACGAAATTTGTATTCAGGGTCATCCGATAAAGCAATCATTGACTATTATTCTGATTTATCACAGGAAGTATTGAAAGCAAAAAATGGAGTGCTGAACAGGATTGCAAATGGATTTTTCCTCAAGTCATTCATTAATTATATCTTATTACATTTGAATGAAATATTGGTTGTATTCATGACCTCACAGAGGATAGGTACTGAGACTGACTTATATTACTGCTTGAAGATATATTTATTTGATGGTCGTTTTTTGCTCATAAAATCGCAACAAATCATTTGCAGAAGAATAATCATCAAATGTCCTTATCTACTACGTTTGAAATTCTCAAAGTCAAATTCAGAGACAACGTAAGAAACACATATTTAATCAACGCGCGCGTCCTACTAGTTCATCTCGTTTCTCATTCATTGAAGACAAAATATAAATGCGGCCGAAATGGGTGCTGATTTTTTATCATAAATCGCACAACAACTGGTTCTTAATTATTATTTCAAAATTCCATCTCACGCTCCTTGAACCTTTCTTAATATCGAGATTCTGATGTGCATTATAGTTTAGAGCTTTGCTTCCAATGAACATAAATGCTATCTGATTTCGAACAAAAGTTATAACTAACAAAGAGACTTGAAAGTAATAGACTTAAGTATAGCACTAGGGTGGCTTTGCAAACTTTGATTCTCAATGATGCATTAGCATGACTTAATACTCTTAGGTGCCCAGCTAATTTAGTCAATGTAGATAACTGTT